GCTGTCTGATGGATTGCTCTAACACCTTTCACTCCCTTTCTATGATCTAAAGAGGGGCTGATGAGAGGCCAGTGAGAAATGTCAGTGCTCATCTCTGCTCAGGATCAGGCCAGAGCTGAAGAGATCTGATTTTCTGCAGGTCTGTCCAAAGCAAACAGTAGCTCTTAGTACATTGATGTTGACCTGTCACTATCTACCCTCACACAGGCTGTTGTGTTCTCTTCTACCTCATCATTTCTTTTGATAAAAGAATCCTTGCAAAAGACACAGGCTGAAGAACAGCTGGGTATGTAAGCATGTCCTGTGTGCTGTACATCCACAGAGATGCCCCTTTGTCTCTATGTGAAATGATGTGAAAATCCTGCTGACTCATTCCTTCTTGCCATTACTGCAGCACCTCTGGTGATACCACATGGATAGACTCAGAAATGAAAACACTTTCTCTAGAACAGAAATCCTCAAAATGGCATGGCTTCCCCCATAGAAGGAAAACAACGTCTTTTTGCATCTCTTTTTCCTAACCAACAAATCCTCAAAAAGATTTTTTTCCACTGTATTTTGTCCAAGACCACTATTTGCCAAGGAAGCAGTCTGTGAGCACTTAAAACTGGTAGAGAACTGATAGCTTTTGCAAACAATGGCCAAGGGCCACACTTTGCCTCATTCTCCTCTGATCCTTCATCTCCACAGTGGGCAGTGTTTAAGATATCCCACAAAGATTTCAATGTGAAAATGGCCTGCAAGCCTGTAAGCAGCATGAGTCACAGCTCCACTGAGGTGGGGATGTTGCCAAAAGTCATCTCTGTGCGTTTCTACACCTCCAGCCCTCACAGGGCCCCATAGTGTGGTGAAGCTCACAGCCAGGGTAGGCCAAATCCCTGGGAATGCAGATGCCTGGAGACAGGATTGCCCTTCCTCCCAGCCAGGCCTATGGCAATATGCTCTAGGGGTGCAGGGAGGTGTTGGGTGGCTCTGGAATTCAGCTCCCCTGAGAGTGGGAATTTCTGCCAGGCTGTGAGGGAGGCAAGGGGGTCTGGGAGGCTGTAGAGGGGGAGTGGAGGGCACCAGGCTCAGGGCAGGAAATGGAAATGGAACTTGGCAGGTGAGGAAGGGCTGAGCACTGCCATAAAGCTCCAGCTTTGGCTCTGACACTGGCTCCAGGCCTGGCTCCATCTCCAGCTCTGGACCTGACTCCAGCCCCCCAACACCTGCAGCACTGAGCACTGCCCTGACAGCCGTCCTCAGCACTGGTACTGTGCTCCGTCCTGAGCCTCTCTCTTCAGAAAGGACATTGAGGTGCTGGAGTGTGCCCAGCAAAGGGCAACGAGGCTCATGAAGGGTCTAGAAAACACATGTTGTGAGCAATGGCTGAGGAAGCTGGGGTTGTTCAGCCCGGAGGAGAGCCCACTGCTCTCCAGTTACCTAAGAGGATGCTGTAGGGAGGTGGGACTGGTCTTCTCTGGTGTGTCTGCAGTGACAAAAACGAGAAAATGGCCTTAAACTGAGACACTGGAGATTCAGATTAGACAGAAAAAATTGCCAACGTTAGGATGGTGAGGCATTGGAATAGGTCATCCAGGGAGGTCACCGTCCCTGAAGGTGTCCGAGAGGCTTCTGGACATGGTGCTGGGTGGTGCGGTGTAGTGATTCAGAGGCTACAGCGGTAGTGCTGAGTGGGCGATCAGACTAGATTATCTTAAAGGTCTCTTCCAGCCTTGATGATTCTGTGATTCTGTAAATCTATAACCGTAATTCTGCGATTCCATAATTCTGTGACTGCGTGACCCGCCGTGACCCGCCGGGCGCGGCCGTGAGGCGACCCGGGGCGGGGCGGAGCCTCGGCGGCGGCGAGGGGGCGGGGCCGGGCCTCGCCGCGCTGATTGACAGGCGGGGCGGGGCCACGGCGGGGCGGAGCTGCGCGGCCGATCCGGAGCGCCGGGGCTGTGGAGGGCGGGGGAGACACCGGGTACGGAGCTGCCGCCACCGCTGCTCCCCGGCGCCAGGTAACCGGGCGGGGGCTGCGTCCGTCTCGCCCTACCCGGGGAGGCCGGGGCGGCTGGGGAGGGAGGTGGCTACCGCCGCTCCGCGCCGCGGCGCTGTGTCTGTCGGGCCGCGGCGGAGCCCCGGGCGAGCCGCTCCGGTCCGGTCCGGCGGCGGGCGCGGAGAGGGGCAGCGGCCGGCCCTGCCTGACCTGGTGCGTTACCCGGCGCCGCCACAAAGCACCGGCCTTCCCCCGCCGCGTCCCCTTCTCCGTCACCGTCTCCCAGCGCCGCCCAGCCTTCTCGGCGGGGGCCGGTACCGAGCGTCCCCTCCCTCGCCGCCGACACAACTTCCTCCCCCGGACCCGCACTGGGCAACTTTTCCGGCCGGTTCTTGTGCGGAGCCCCGGGCGGGTGAGCTCGGGGCCGTGCCCAGGCCCGGTGCGGGAGCGGGGGCGGCTCGGAGATGGGGGGCGGCGATGGGCCCTGGGCACGGCCCCTCGGCGCGGCGGAGGCGGTGGCGGTGCCTCCCCGTCAGCTGTTTCCTGCTGTTTGTTGTCAGGGCTCCTGCGCTCCCGGCAGCGCCCGGCGGGGGGGACGGGACGAGCCGGCCCCGGTTGGCTGCGCGCGCCCCCGTGACGGCGCGCGGGCCGGGCCGAGCCGGGCCGGGCACCGCCCCCGCGCGCGCGCGGCTTTGTGTGTGCGCGGCACCGCGATCGGCACCGACACCGGCACCGACACCGACACCCCCCGCAGCGCCACCCCGGGCCCGGCCGCGGGGCTTGCGCAGGGGTTGAACCGCCCTGCCCTGGCGCACGGGGGGTGGCGGCTCCGCCTGACGCATCGCCCCTCTCCCCGCCAAGGTGCCGCTTGCTGAGCGCGGCCGGCGCGGCAGCGCCCTGTCCCCGCCGGACCGGTGCCTCCAGCGCGGAGCTGTCACGGATCCAGCCGCGCTGCTTGTTTGCTTTGTGGAGGTGCTCGCGGCTCGCTCAGCAGCGAGGCACGCTCGCCTGCTGGCGCTTTGGTTGGGGTTTTCCCCGTGGAGGTATGGGTTCCCAGGGCGCTGAAATACTCTGCCGGCCCTTTTCTGCTCTGGGAAAGGTTCTAAGTCAAAGCAAAAATTAATGTGAGGACTGTTGTCTGTCTGCTTCGTTTGTTACTTTGTGCACAACCCTCATCTGTACTGTGCAAGCAAGATGTAGATTCGATTAATCCAGCGTGTTTATTTAAGGATAAAGGCCGTATTTTGGACTGGTATTGCCGTAGAATTTAATAAATTATTCGTCTGTGGCTTCTTCAGACAATAAACACGGGTTTAGGGTTAGACTGAGACATTAACAAAGTAAGTGCACAGGGGTTTATGAGAGAGAAACAGGGCAGGACTCTTTCGAAAGTGGTATCACAGAACAGCTCTTGGTGTCAGCAGCTAATGGCTCTAGATTAACCATTAGCTTAGCTAATGTTTATGACTGATGGCTGAAAGGGAGGGAACTTGCTCCCCAGTTGTAAACATTCCCTCACGTGACTGTATGTAACTGCTATATAGATAATCCTATATATATTTTTGTATGGACCCTCATTGTGGATTGGTGAATTCAAGTCGCATGTGTGACAAACAAAATTGTCGGTTTTTGAGTGCTGCTCTCTTCTTCTAACGCAGTCTTGAAAAATACTATTTGGAGGCTTCTGTCATCTGCTGCTTTCACTTCCGTACTTAGGGCAATACTTAGAGATGCAGAGCTTATTGTTTGTATATAGATTTTAATAATGACGAGTGAGTTTCAAGTGTGGTTGCCAAGTGTGTGAGGACAAATGAAACTGCACCTCAAAGCCCAGCAGAGAAGATGACAAGAACAGGCTGGATTTGTTACTTGTCACACACTGAGAGCTGTACACGTATTTATATATCCATATTTAACATGGTAATCATCACAAGCTTGAAGGAATGTTGTCCAAGTCAGGTCATTCGTTCATTTTGTTTACTAGCATTTGACCTGTGTTGAAATCTTGGGTTGCTCAGCTCCCACTGAAATATGTAATTCCCTTAAGCAAGATTTAACTTAAAAATTGCTTGCTAAATGTGTAGATGAAATGCCTGTACACTATGGATGTTTGTTAGCAAGGTGATCTCTAATTTTGGAGCCTTTACCTATGTTTAGGACCTTTCTAGTTAATATAAAAATCTGTTGGTTATGTGCACTTAGTGTATAAGCACCCTTTTTGCCAGCTGGATGTCATTCGTTTGGATGATGGTTGTCTTTACACCATTTCTTAAAAGGCTATTAATTGGATTTCATTTTTAATTACTCATGAAATCAGGGATGTCTTGGATGAAGTTTTGTATCACTTCAGCACTAAAAATAATGAAAACAGAAAATGTGTAGTTTAGCTTTCAGAAGGTTACAGAATGGATTCATAGACAAAAGTTGTCTCAACTGCTTAAGTAGTATAAGAATATATTTATTACGAAACAAGGAAATACAGCTTTCTTAGAAACAGTGGAGTAATTAGGAACGGGAAAGGAGGAAAATGCAGGGAAAAAGAAGCAGGGTGACAGGTCTAGTTGCTGGTTTTGGACTGTAGTGGTGGGAAAGAAAATTAATCTGAGTCTGAAACCATTTGTAAACTAATACTTTTATATGTTATCTATCAAGAGTATTGTGAGGGCTTAAGTTACTCTGTGGGAGATGCTGAGATAGGGGGCTGTATGAGAAACAAGCACCCATCTGTGTGACTCTGGTCTCTGTCGACTTGAAACAAAGTACCCTGGATTAGTGTTTGAGTGCACCAGTGTGATGTAAACAAATTTAAATGCCAGTATCTCCGTGCTCGCCTGACCTAGGAAAAAATCCAGTTTGCAATAGGATATGATACTACTGCAACCTGCAATACAAAATTACACTGCTGCAACTTGCACAAGGATGTTTTCATCCTGCAAGGCAGCCTCTTGTTGGTGGGTGCTGTCCCCTGCATCTGGGCACAGCCTCCATTGCTTTGCCAAAACCTCTTCTGTCATTGGACTACATTAAGTTCCTTTCACAGTTTGCTGCAGTAGGTAGATGGTTCTGAAGAGCACAGTATGCTGTTCCAGTTCGGTTTCTTTCCTCACTTAGCTACATGTGGTGGTTTCAATTCTGCATGTAGGCAGAGGCCAGGCCCTGTTTGCTTGGACAGTTGCAGAAGTTGGTGGCAGACGTTGAATCTCCGACCTCCTAAGAGACTGACCACGCGTGTATTTTCAGACGCACCCTCACCTGTGAGCAGGGAAACCTGGGAAGGTGAGGAGCAAGTTTTATTTTTTCCTTTTTGATTCTTTAACGTGTAGTCTTGTGCAGCTGTGCTAAGAATTCTCTTTCCTTTTTTGTCCATCTCTGAGACGAGAAGAGGAAGCTGAAGCTCAGTTCCTGAGATGCTATGATGAAGTTTCGGCCTGCTTCCAGGGTAAGTACATCTTGAGAGTGTTTCAGTGTGCTTAGGGGTATGCATAGCCCTTTCTCAAAGGGTAGAGAATGCTTACTTGCTCACAAAGGAAAATGTTTTTAGTTGGTAAAATAGTGGAAGAAAGACGGTCACAGTTTTTTGTCCTTTAACTAGCAGCTGTTCTCTGTTGTAGATATGAATGCAGTAGATGGTGCTGAAGCAACACTGAGGCTCCTCCTGTGAAATTTCCACAGTCCAGTGTGTATAGAGAAAGTGCTTGCTGGCTCTCCCAAGTGTTGATGGTCCTGTGTCTTCAAGGGATGCATTCCAGGACAAGAAAACACTGACTGTTAGTTTTAAAGATGTTAATAAATAATTCTTTGTGTTACCTTTTCATTCTTTATTGATGGTGAAGGTGGGCATTTGAGGTAGTACAAATACCAGCCAAGTGGTGCTTCAGGGTGTGTGCTCAGACAGTGGTCAAATTTAAGCTGTTGAATGTTAGCCCTTTGATATGGTTGTTGCTCAGTGTTGCTGAAATCAACACTGAAAGTGTCTGGGGAGTCTGGATGCTACTGCTCTGGGAATACACATTATAGCACTCAGCCACAGTGCTTGTGTTTCCTGTCCATGTGCTCACTGGGAGAAGCATGCAGGGAGGAGGTATGATTGAGAAGTGGTATCAAGGTTTATGCTGGAATAATGTACTGTCAAAATCATGCACCGTCAGCAAGCCTGACTGCTAGGTAATATGAGCTATCATTGATTGCTTTCCTAAAGGTCCTCTCAGGAAGGTGGTCTGGGTGCTGAATAATGTCAGTGTCATCATCTTTCAGTTCATGAAAGTGCCTCTCTCTTGGAGCTGGGGGGATTTGACAAGCAATAGATACTTTATATCCCATTAAGGAAACTAAATAAGTTTGCCTTTCTTACATTGCAGCCATTCATTTAATATAATGACTTGTGTTCAGTAATTCGCATGAGGGCAGGAGCAATAGAACTTCATCACTGATACATACCCAGTAAAGAAAGCTTTGCTGACTTTAAAAGTGAAATCATGGGCCAAAAAAATCTGTTCTTTCCTCAGCATTTGGCTTTGTGAATAACTGAGATCCCTGTCTACTCTTTCTGAAAATTCTGCTGGTAGCATGATGGAATCGGTGGGATACAGTAGTGTCACTTTCTGGAGCTGTAAGTAGCACTAGGGAACCTGACTGGTTCTCTGGATCAGTGGAAATTATTTTCTGTGTTTTTAAGTGTAAATAGTGAATGAATGGCCAAGTGCACTTACTGTATTTTCCTCCCTCTATTTGGAGGATCTTAAGCTTTAGAAATGCTTTCATGTTTCACAATTCTTTGGCTTCTCCTCATTTAAGAGAGTCCTCCCACTGCCTATCAAAGCTGCCTATAAGTGGCTTTTTCAGATAATTTATGCATGTGTGAACATAAATAGACGCCTGCACCTTTTTGATTGGTAGTGAAACTATAGGGAAAAAAAATCTGCACCATTAACGGGGTGACTTTGTACACACCGCTTCTGTTTGTAAGGGGCAGGAGCCTGAGAGCAATGGAAAATTGCTTTTCCCTTGTTCGGTTGTGCCTCTGGGTTTTTCCTGTGTGCAGTAAGTATACCCTACAGGATTCAGGGTCCTTACATAAGGAGAGAGGAGCCTTTATCCACAGCAAGTACTTTCTGATTTGGTCTTATAAGTGAACGTTATGTTTTTAGCTTGGGGGAAGAAAAAGGAAAGGGGGAAGCATGAAATGATTCCAAGTTGAAATTTGTTTCTCTATTTTACAGGAGAGGAAAAAGCAAAATTTCCATGTTAGGTTTTTTAGAAAATTCATGATAATGTGTGGCATTTTAAGTCTGTATTACTAGCAGTCATTTTGTAATTTTTTTCCTTACTTTTTACTACTGCAAGCAGTAACATAAAGATTAATGTAAGGTGACTAGTTTTATAATGCCTCAGCTGGGCCCTTACGAAGTCATTGAATTCAATAATCAAAACTGAGGTTGGAGGTAGCTGTAGCCTGCTATGTATTTTAACTGAAGTCTACCAGGTAGTAGTTAAGTGTTGAGGTTACTTTGAAAATGTTAGACACTCTAGTAACCTTACAGTATTTTAGTAGTTTCTCAAGAAAACAGACACAAAATCTGCATTGTTTTGACTGTTACAGTGCTGATTGTAGAATTTAATTTTCTAAATTCTTAAATGTGTACTATTTCAAGAATATACATTTCCTTATGCATTGTATTCTGAAGGAAATGTTTTCTGGTACCAGTTGATTTGTTAAATTCTGCTGTGACTTTAGGTTACTTTCAGCTCTTTAAGGTGACATAAATAAGTAGGATTTTAGGCCTTGTATTACTAGGCAAATTTTTCAGCCTTACGTCTTTGAATATATTTATTTATGCATTTATCTTCATGTTTGAGATCTTTGGGACTCAAGGCTTCAGTCCATGCCATAATGTCATATCCAGAAGTAATACATTTATATGTTGCTGTGACTTCTAACTTGCTTGTTTGAATTGCACTTGTGCTCCCTTCTGAAGTTTTTAATTTCCATTTTTAGTGTCTCTAGGCTACTGCTTTTCTGAGGGCAGTGACATGAATTATGATTTTAGGCAGGTGATGCACTTGCATTTGAAGTGTTTAGGTGCATTTTCCAAAATGTCATGCTGTGCAGGGTCAGTGTGTGTAAAGGATCTGTTCTGGACACCAAGCTCTGTGTTTGTGTTGCTCCTGGTGAGATAGGGATGGGTTTGGATTTATGCTGTGTTACCTTCTTCAAAAATACTGACAGGATGGGCATTGTGTTTACTCTGAAAGAAATACCCCTTTGGGTTCTGATTCCACATTTACTGTAACTTACCATCATTTAATTGTTTTGAATCTACAATACAATCAGCACAAATGTAACATCCAAAATTAGGAAGGATGGCACATGGACCTAGGCCAAGTGCCTTATGGGCATATCTGTTAAAATTGCCTTAATTGCTTGTATTTGTGGTTTCTTCTGGCTGGAGACTTTTACTGATACTTATTTATTCACACTTATTGTCTGATTTTCCTTCATTCTGTCACTATTCACATTTTATTTTTTTTTTCTTTTGCTTGCTGGGAAAGATAAAGGCATATTAGAAAGGTATAAAGCTTAGAGAAATCTAAATGAAAATGCTTTCTGTATTTTGAATGGAGTCACACCTCTAACATTCAGACCTGCTTTATTTAACCTTTGAAGAAGTGAAATGGGTATTATATCACCTTTAAAAGGAAGAGTCATTATGTTGTTTTCAATTTTTATGTATCCTTCAGATGGGATACAGAAGATTAATAGTGATTTGAAAAATCTGAAGGTAAGGAACCTGAGCTAAAATCACTCTGTTCTATACTAGGAACCCTTTTTGTTGCCTCACATTTTAAGAAAACAAAGTGTGAAATAAAGCAATTGGGAAAAAATCATTATGTCAGTGACTTCTGATTTTTAGATGTAAAAATGGTATGTTAAGCTCTGTGGGTGAAGGTGCAAGTTTTAGTCCATTTGCTTTGTGCATGTCAAGAGTAGGCTTTAAAAAACTGATCCTCTAAAACTTGAAATAAGTTTAAATTAGGTATTTGTGCTTCTTAATGGTGTTTAACTTAGAATATTCAATTAGATGAGCACAAAATTTGATTGACTTCTCTATGAACAGCACAGTCTCCTATTCTGAAAAGTAAAACCCACACAATTCTAATATTGCAGTGTGTCAGATTTACTTTGCTTTTGTCATGCAGAGCAATGCAGAGACAATACATTTTTCTGATTGCACATCTTAAGCATAAATGGAGGTACATTTAACTTGTTTAACTATAGAAGTTTAGTTGTTAACTTCTGCAGTTGAAAGGGAAATAACATCATAATTCAATTCCTTTGTCATGTTATATCATCCTTCGTGATTTAAGTTTTCAGCTGTATGTTCTGTGCCTACTCACTAGTTAACTTTGAGTAATTTATGTTAGTTGGTGTGAAGCTGGTGAGACACTTTAATTTTCCTAAGCAGTGAAGAGGCTGATTTATCAGGCACTCAGGTCATGTGCTATAAAGGTTTTAAGCTCTGGGTATTTTTCTAATTGGAGTTGCTGAGCTATTTTAGTGATGAGGCTTTGGAAATATCTTGGATAAATGACACAGTATTTTGTATTTGGATTAGACAACTTAAAACATTCGTATATAAAACTGTCTGGTGTAAAGACTGGGTGGATTGTTTATTATGTGAAATAGCATCCAAACCTTTCCTGTGTTGGTGTGTATATGAAACAAAGAAGTGCCAAGTCAAATACAGCAGCCAGGGTGCTATACCAACATTCTGGGTGGTGGGGTTGTGTGATCGTGTGTCATAAATTGTGCAAAGCTATGGGGAAGTGACATTATAAATATGTATTTTAAAAAGTGGGGGTGACCTGGGAAAATTAAGCTATAATTGTCTTGGTGATTCAGTGTAATTCTCAGTGCTTCATTTCTTAGTGCTGACTAAGATGAGTGAGTTATTGGGAATGTACTGAAATAGAATTTCAGTATTGTGTTAAAGGAAGTGGAAGCTCCTGAGTTTAAGAACTGTAGGGGCCAGTAGGGGCTCTGCAAAAGCCTGAATTTTATTTTTAAGGTTTTGGTTTGTGTTTTTCTCATTTAATGTAATTCTCAGTTTGTATTTAAGTTGTCTTATTGGTAAAATGGTCACTTCGGGAAAGAACTTGTCTTGAGAGGGTGAAGGCAGACTGTAAGTTCAGTAATTCACCAGCAGAGGAATGACTTTGAGCCATCATTAGCTGAATTGGTTTGAAGAATATTCTGCCATACATATGGGATGTTTGGGGGTTTCAATTTTTTTGCTATAATGCTTTTTTTACATGATGTTTCTTTTTGCTTTCAGGTCTTGAGTATAAACTTACCTAAGTTGTAAAAATGGGAAGAATTTTTTTGGATCATATTGGTGGCACTCGCCTGTTCTCCTGTGCAAACTGCGACACAATCCTGACCAACCGCTCTGAGCTCATCTCCACTCGCTTTACAGGGGCCACAGGAAGGGCCTTTCTTTTTAACAAGGTTGGTAAGAACCTGGAGGAACTGCTATTTACTTCTGAAAAATGAGTTTGTGGGATATGAATACCTCATGAGATGGAAAAAGCTTCTTGGCTAAAGTGTTGCATAATTACTATTTTAACTTTTATTTTTGTTTTGTTCTACTATCTTTGAAGTCAAATTTGGCATTTACTGTTGATGGGAAACTTATTTAAATTAGTTTTGTCTGCAATACTGAAAGACTATAAAGAAGACTGTATATAGAGGCATCAGGCCAAAATTTACGGAGTTTTAACTTCAGAGACTTCTGTAATATGAACCTCAAGTTCACTCTGAGAGTATCTGGTGTCTGTCAAAGGGATTCCAAAGGTGTTTTTACTTTCATGCAGTTAAAAAGTCTAGATAATATTTTGTTTTAATTCCTGAAATGCATTTAAGTTAACAGTAGTCTGGCAACTTACGTTGCCACAATCAATCTTTTTTACAAGCAATAATACTCTGATTTAGTTGAATAGTTTTTAATTGATCAGATTAAATAGATTGAAATACCAATGTCATAATTTTTGAGTGAATTGCAGGATTATTTATTAACCTTGTATATAAACTGGTCCATTAGATTAATTGAAACAGTTATAATTGTCCCTTGCTTTCTCACAAAGTTACTGGTCATATAATGCTTGGTGTATTTTAATTGTTTTTATTTCTTATAAGCCATTTGGCCATGGGCAGAGTTGGTAGAGGCTTCAGTAGTATCTTAACTATGTTTTGCTCTGGGATTTCTGGTATTCTGAATCTTATCAGTAGTGAGAGATTTCCTCCTCATCCAATAAACTCTGGATCCTGGAGTTCAGATTATTTTAATGTTAAATAGTGGGATTTAATTACTTCAGTTTGAGTTGTTGCATTTCTGCAGTCAGAAGCTGTACAATGGAGCAGTCAGGTGCAAAGCTCAGGAAGCACTGCAGTCCTGTCTTTTAGAATCTGCATATCAGCAGTTTGGGTACAGTTCTCACATCAACTCTTCAAAGAATTAAACATCTTGTTTTTGTGGTAGTGCTGCAAAAGAGATTAAAAGTATATTTTAAACTGCTGATATAGCACACAAAAAGGTGCATATTTCATATCTACATTCTCAGTCACTGACCCTGGCTTTTTCTTAGGTAATTATTTCAAAAGCACCACAAGATTTTTAAAGAAGTGCCTCTTTTAATATTTTGTTTCTGAGTTCTGGGACTTGGTGAGCAAGAAGTTGCTCAGCTGCTAGAAGTGGGTTGCAGACATTACAACTGGATTAATACAAATTCACAAGCTGTTCACTGGGAGTTTCTCACCCAGAATTGAACACAATCCATGTGTCTCAGGTAGAATGTGAGGGTTTTACAGTGTGAAGCACATCTTTAAGGTGTTACCTTCTCATGAAGGAGATTTTTTTGCACTGCAGTTTTCAGTTCGTGTGCAGTGCCTCAAGCTCTTTCCTTCTAATGTGCTGAAAGTCATTTACCAGGTTTCCTTAGGCACACTAATCCTTTGTTCCCTGTGCACCGTGTGTTTGTCCCAGGTGGTAAATCTGCAGTACAGTGAAGTTCAGGACCGGGTCATGCTCACTGGCCGCCACATGGTCCGGGACGTGAGCTGCAAGAACTGCAACAGCAAACTGGGCTGGATCTATGAGTTTGCCACTGAAGACAGCCAGCGCTACAAGGAAGGCCGCGTTATCCTGGAAAGAGCCTTGGTCCGGGAGAGCGAAGGCTTCGAGGAGCATGTTCCATCCGACAATTCCTGAAGAGGCTCCGCTCTCTTCTCAGGTTCTCTTCAATTGAAACTCAAATATAATAAAATCAACAAAAAAATCTGCTTACATACACTGTCACCTTAGCATCAGAGTCGGATTCATGGACTACAAAGTGGGAAAGATTGTGAGAATATTTCAGATGGAACCTTCCTTTCTTTATTCCTTTTATATTTTACTTTCCCTCCAGCAGCTGTTTGTAGAAAGAATGTTGTGCAGATGCTGTAACTTTTTCTCTCTTTCATATACATCTGTTAGATTTGAGATTGCATCTTCAGGTACAGTGGGCTAAAAGGAAAATATTTGCAGGATTTGTCTTTTGTTGGAGAGAAATTCAATGAAGTTTTTTTTTTTTAGTTTGCACAAACTGATGTCAGCATCAAGTTATTTTAGAACTAAAGATTTTTTTAAAAGTATGTTCCAACTTTTGGCTTAAGTTTTTAGTTAGGTTTTTGGTTTTTTGGGCTTTTTAAACCCAGCCTTTTCATCTGGTTTGCTAGCTGAAGTGAAGAGATCCGAATTTGTGCTGAGTGCTAAAGGTTCAGTGTTGGTACAGCTTGGGCTGGCCCATGTGCCATATTCTTGTTGAGGTTGATTGGTAGCACAGAGCCCATTATTTCTTGTCATTTTTGACCCAAAGATGTCACCATTCCTTGTTTATTCATGAAGTCCCATTCACCGTGTAAACTGGTGTTGATTGGAAACTATCCTTGAAATAGGGCAAAACTGCTTGGCTTTTTTAAACTTTAACAGATGTAACTTATGAGCATAGTAATAATATAAAGTAATAGCTGTCTGTTTAGTCTTGCATTGCTTACAAATCCAGCTGTGTTTGTAATGATAGGGATCCACTGAGAAACTACAGTTTCAGTAGTCATTTTTTTTCATTTCTCTACTAATCTCATTAAGTTAGACAGGGAATTGCAAATCTTAATTCTTCTTCAAGTAGCTTTCTTTAAACCCAGAACTTCCTATGTTAAACACAGCTGCTGTGTAAAAGGAGAAGATTGCCAGCATGTTTGTTCATGCATAGAGTTATGCAATCTGCGTCTCTTGAAAAAATTAACTTAAACAGCTTGTTTTCAAATGCTGCTTCTGGTGTTGAAACCTTTGTCTTTCAACTTTGTTGAACTTTTTCATTGTAATGTTACATTTTTATTTTTCTGGGCAGCAGTACATGTCAGCCTAGTAGTAACTAGTGACTTGGATTCCTGCTTTGTTCTTGTAGAGGTCAGCTCTGTTTAAAACAGTGATCTTGCTTGCCTTTTTTAGCTAAAATGCTCTTTGTTAACTTAACTCAAGGGTGCCCAAACACTTTCATTGTGTCTTAAGCCATAAGTTAGGATCTCAAGGGCTGAAATTTATTTGAATGTGAGATATGTATGATTTCTTACCTAAAATATGAGTTGGTTGTGGTTTTTTTTCTTATTGGATAAATTGTGGTCAATGTGAAATAAGTTACCCACGGATGCAGGAAAGGGGGGGAACCCCATCCAGCCAAGCAGATCTGGCTTCTGACCTTTCAGAATAACTTTTCTTCTCTAGCCACAGCTCCATATCCGAAACTAAGATGTGGAGGGTGACTATACAGAGTATTTTTCTTCATTTTATTTGGTTGCCAAGTGGCAAGTTGGACACCCCTGACTTGAATCTACTGCCTCTTTCATGTAAAGGTAGCTTTGTTCTAGAAATGTCACATAGAAAGAAAACAGAGTAGATCACATACCAGAGCTGTGCTTGAATCAAGCTGCTTAAACAATAGTGTACTTGTGCCTCAAATGAATCAGTTTTTGCACTGAGTACAGTAGTACCCCATTATCTTGTACTTCTGTCCTTCACAGACCCTAGCCTGGAAGCGCCATTAGCATGGTTCTCTGCAGTACTTTTCTTGTACTTCTGACATTACAGTACAATAAAGTATGTTTTGTCCTGAACTGATCTTTGCTGTCCTTTTGGAGTTATTGTCGTAGAGTCTGTCAGCCAAATCGTGTAACCCATCTTTCATTCCTTGTGTTAAGTTTCTGCAGCACAGTGACAGGCTGTTGATGAGCATCCCTCTCTGTATAGGTGGCAAAAGAGTTCTGTTGATTTTGGAAGGTGCCAAGTAGACCATCATGCATACTACTTGGACACTTGAAAGCCTTCAATTAAGCCTGCTGTTAAAGAGAAAACAAGAAATGTCTCACTTAATGGAATTCTGGGTGCCAAATGTCTTTCCATGACTTTGAAAAGACAGCAAGATAAGCAAAAATCCACCTTCTGCAAGAAACTTGAGATTTTGGCTTTTGAAATGGTTTAAGAATTAATGAATTGGGTATTATATTTATGGACTTCTGCGACTTTTTCCTTTGTGTTCAAATGTTACCTGCTAGCAGCTGTTCAACTTCTAAAGCTGTAGCTGAAGAACTGAGATGAGAGGATCATTGGGTTGGTATGATGGAGACCGGGGCTCTTATTCTGACTTACATTAAGACCATTTTGGCAGCATGTTGGTTGAGATGCTAAAAACTACTTTTCACAAAGCCTTTGATTTCAAAAACATGTGAGTTCTTAAAAATCCCGTGAGAATTAAGCAAGTCCTCTGCAGCTTTTAAACAGCAGACTTTGGCTTGCTGTTTTAGCTTGCATGCTGGTCCCTCCTCTATCACTTTTGATGTCTCTGAGAGAGTTTAGCCTCCTATATTTTGGCTGCTCCTCCTTGAGACACTTGGTAACACAGATAACAAGGCCATTGGTTACAGCACGTCTAGAGACAGAGGAGACATTGCTATTTGGCATCAGCTGCGATTTTATATTCCTGGAGACCTCAGACTCTGTGCTTGTAGGCTGCATCTTGGGCCAGCAGTGGTGCTGTGACTTTTGCATGCCATGAACTGGATTAGAGTTCATGTCACCCATGCTGTGATCTCATCCTGTGGGTGTACTCTAAACTGAAATACTTCCTTGCTACTGTTTCAGCAAAACACAGCTTTGGGAAGTGTAAAATGTTGGACGGTGTGTTTGTGTGGAGTATAAAAGCGTTTTACTTCTGCTCTCCAGAGATGTTAGAAGAACTTCTGAAATTACATACATGTGTCATGGCCCTGTTAGAAAAATTGGCCTTGCACGGGGCTCTGGGGCTGGCTGTGGTCACTGCCACAGTCTTATTCTTACAGGGCAAGCTTGCCTCTGCAGATTGGGGTCAGAGCTTTAGGAAAAAAAGTCAGCAGATCATCAGTGGATGAGCAGGTAAGGAACAGGTGAAGCGCAGTTGAGGACACAATTGCCAGGTACAAGGATGAGGTGGCTGGGAAAGCTCTGACTCTGATGTGGGAAGAGGCTAGCTGGTTGATAACCCCAAATTTAGACAAGGAGCACAAGCTGTGATACTGCAGTACCATTCTGCAAAAGTCAGAAATAGTGTATTGTGTTTCCTTCTTGTGCCTGCCTTTACTTAGAACAACAATAAATTTTAAAAATCCAGTGAAGCTTGCTTTCCTGTGGATCCCAAGGGCTTTGCAGACTCCCTGACAAAGAAGAAATACTTCTGTCTTCTTATTTTGCTTGGGACACTGATAAAAATTGCTGTCCAATCCTGGTTTTGCGGGACTTAAAAGAACTAAGTGATTTTGACACTCCTATCTTTATAACCTGGAATTAAAATTGCCCAAAAACTTTAAAAGATTGCTTTGAGTGGTGAGGAGGAGTATGCTTAATAAGGAGGATTAATAAGGAGGTTGATAATGTTCCTGTGCAAGCTATGTCCAAAGAAAGTGAGCTCCTGTCTGTCTCATTAATGTGTTGTGTGGCAAAGGCCTTCAACAGCTGCTGAAGGGTCTGGTTTCTGCAAGTGTGGAGCTCTTCCGGGTCTCATAGTTACTTCCTTCCCTACCTCTCATGTAAGAATTTCTGATATGTGTAGGAAAATGTAAGGGGAGGATCTCTCTTCTGCCTTCCAGCCTTTTGTTTACTGATAGTGTTGCTCTTACTTGAATGGATTTCTGTGATCTCAGTAAAACTGCTGCCAGGCTGCTGCTGTATTTTTACTTAAAGGCCCTTCTGGCAGAATATTAGTGACTTTATCATCTCTCATCCCCAAGTCTAGGCAGAGTTTGTTTGGGAGTGATGCTTGACTGAACATTGTGCTCTGGGTAGAGATGATGTGAAGGAAGACCTCCATTCACAGGATACTTTTATTGCTGTGCTGCATCTCTTTCCTTTTCATGCTATTTTAAGTGTGATTTGCTTAAGTTTGCATTGCAACTCCTCCTTTTAAAAAGGAGATGACTAAGAGACAGCAGTCTGTGCCTCTTGAACATGGTGTTTCCCTCTGATGGACCTGAAATTTGGTACAGAGTGCTCTGTGTGCTGCTCTGTTGGAAGGGGTGGCTGTGTTCCTGTGTGACTTGGTCCTGCAAAAATGAACTCCAGTGCTTGTCCAAGATATGGCCAAAAATCTCCCTGCAATGGGAGTTAGGATATGAAGGAGAAACACAGGTGAAAGTGTGTGTGTGTGTGTGAGATCTCAACTGAACTGGTCATTTGAAGCAGCAGAGGTGGGAGAAATTCTACAGATAAGCTTGCACCTTTTCTTTTTGCCTTGTGTGGGTTCGGGGAAAGTGAAAATCACTTGGGCATTGCAAAGGATCTAAGGTCCCCTGATGAACAGAGGAGTGGGAAGTGCAGCACCAGGGCTAACTTTGGTACAGTCTCTGTGTTGTGTTTGGATGAAGGCAGCTGGAAGATGTTTGTCCTTCGAAGTAGGCTATTTTTGTTCTCATTACCTGAAGCATTTATTACTATCAGGAACTTGCATTTGTATAGAAGTGAAAGTAGGAGAAAGAACAAAAGGCTATGGTAATAATTTGGATTTTCTAAAGCATGAGGAGTAAATGGGAGAAAAAAGGATGTTCAGATGTTGTATTTTGACTCTACGCAGGAGAGAGATGTGTGTTTGCCTGACATCAAGATCCAGTGCTGTTTCTGGGACTTGAGGATGTTTAGATACAGGATTTTGCTTTGTCCCTTTGTAAGCGTTTGATTTGACCGTTGTAAACATTTACAGGTGTTAGAAACAGTAAGTTTACTGGAACACACTGCATGCCATGGTTGTTTGCACACTAATGGCAGATGTTGCAATAGATGCAGTTAGTGGAGTAGGGAGATCCCTTTTCTATGAGGGGAACACAAAGCAGAATGGCTCATACGAGGCTGCTTAACCAAAGAACTGCCTGGTGGCTTTCGCTGTCCTTAGAGACAACAGTCCTCTGTCCCTGGAAGAGTTTGAAAACTAAGATTCCAGGCACAGGTATACGGTGAGTATAAAATGAAGAGGACATTTGTTATTTTCAGGGGTAGATCTTGGCACATGTGCATGGTCAAAAAGGTGGGATGCTTTGAATTTGGTAGTGAGAACTCAGGTACATCCCATGGGCAGAGTGCAGAGAGAGCCTCTGTGATTGTGCTCCTGTTGGTATTTGGCCAGCAGATCTTTTCCTCGTTCTACCCATTTTTTATTGTCTTTGATCTGGTCTGTAGTGATTGTTGCACCTTCCCTGCAGAATTAGTGCTGTGTAAGGGCTTGGGGAAGTGCCTGCTTTTGGAAATATTAGACGGTCACTTCTACTATCCTGTACTATACCAGTACAATGGATTAGTTGTTGCAGCTCAGAGGGATCCATGGATTGTCTATTCAACATCTCCCTGCTGAGGGGGGATTAGCTTAGTGATGTACTCAATGAGAGTGCATTCTTGGGATGAAGTTCCTCAGTGGGATTTCTTATTGTAGCCAAAAGTACATCAGAGAGATAAGAATTAGGTCACAGAAGTAGAACACCTGAAAAATGCCAGATTTCCCATGGATTGGGTAGCACATGCTTATCCTGTCCCTGCATACACACATCTTGGGGATGAAAGTGGCATGTGGTCACAAGAGCAAGATGTCACTGTCATCACCCTTTTATATGTTATGCATTGAACTTGGAGCTACAGCCTTCATCCCACAATTCCTAACTCCAGACTGCTGGACTTCTTATTAATTTTGTTTCTAAAGGCAATTTGAAAATGAACTTTCCGATGTGCATTTAAGTGGTAAAACTAAAAGAAAATGAGTTTAAGTGTTTGTAATTGCTGGCTTCTTCATGACTGGGATTTGAACTGGGAACCCCTTTTGGTGCAGAATCACCACTACTTAAGCTCCAGGGCTGACTGCTGCTTAACCAGCAGCTGGAGGAAGCTTTTCGGTGAAGAAAGCTGAGCAGATGAGATGAAGGCTTTAGATTTGATGTAAAGTTTCAGAATGGGACAAGGTTATTTTCAGTTTATATGCTAGTTCAGGTTTGGTTGAGGCAGTTGTGGATTTTTGGTTTTGGTTGGGGTTTATGTTTTTCCTCTTCTGACATATGGAGTTGGTGAATTTCCTGCTCCATATAGGACTTTGCAGGAAGAAATGGGAAGATGAAAATTGTGCTGTGTTTCCTATCCAGGCTGCTGAACTGACTCTTGCTTCCTGAGCTTGGGAAGGTTCCTGCTCCATGCATGCTCCCTGTCAAGGAGAGAACAGCACCAAGATTCATGTGCTACATTCCTGGGAAAGGGAGGAGCAGTGGGAGGCAGCTTTCTATCTCACCCTGCTTCATTTGCTCTATCAAGCTGCAGGTAACCTCAGGGCTTCTGGAAGCTTTGGCTGCCTGTCAAAACAAACCAGAGGCACAGAAAAACAACAGCTTTTAACACTCAGTCCAGTGCAAATTTAGGACGTAAAATTCTAGTGTTGTTCCTAAGAAACGACACAAAGCCATTTCTTCCATAAAATTCGCCTCAGCAGCAGTGGTATTTTTATGTCAAAAAGGTTGAAGGAGAAGGTGGGGGGGTGCTTGCCACAGGAAGTGTGGGGAAAGCAAAGGCAGAGAAGGATGCTCTGCCAGAGGTTTTGCTGTTACTTGCCGGCGTTGTCGATG